ATAGTTATAAGAGATAGAACTTTGATTTATACCTACCTATATGGACACTAAAGCAAGTACACTAGTCATTAGCAAGCTATTTGATATAATAACTACACTAACACAAAAACTAGAAAAGACTAAATTTCACTTACACAAAAGCAGGGTTTAAGGATTCAATATTGTGTATCTACTTCATAATAAAGACCACCAAAGTGCATAAAATAAATACATAACAAAATGAAGAACTCCAAGAATGTATTTTTGTGTACTGTTTTATGGGTGAAAAAAAAGCTATCAATTATCTATTCAAAAACCCTCATCATTAGGTTTGACAATACATACTCTCTTTTCCTTGCTACTGTTTAGTTTCAGTGCATGTAGCCCTTCCAGAGCAGACCAAACTGAAAGTCTCACAGAATACCGTTTCATTCAGAATAAAAACTATACAATAAGTCTATTTGGAATGTAAAACATGGCATTAAACATCTATTACTCTGCTAACTAACAGCCTAACAATAACTGAGAAATGCCCCATGTTTTTGAAGAAAATTTACCTCTATAATCAATTCTTCTTAGGAAATTAAGTAACACATTAAACATTAAACCTCTCAAAACTAAGGCCTAGGTTCAGAAAAGCCCCCCTAAACCTGACAGAAGAGCTAATGTCAACCACCTATAATATCTACTATCTTAAAAATTAACGTGATATTGCAGGAAAGAGTTCTTACTAAAGCCACAGTTTACCCACACAAAACTTATACTAAGGGTAAGAGACGAAGCTTTCTCTTTTCTGTGTCTCTAGTACATGCCGGGTATACAGTGTGAATGGCTGGAGATAATTAGATGATTAGGGAAGTAAAAGCATTCAATAAGCCAAAAGTCAATGATATTTTCATAGGTAATGGGACATTCATTGTCTTAAACTCTTTTTTCCTAAACTAATACATCTGATTTCAAAATAATTTTAAACATAATCACAGCACTGTAAATGAATAGCAAATACTAAAGCAAAATCAACTAGCTCAGTGATTGCATTATTAACACAAAAGTTTTAGCTTAAAATAAATGCTACTTCTATATAGTATTTATTCCCTTCCATGCCATTAAAATCTTGTTGGGAAATTTATAATTGTATCATCTGTATAAAGGCTATGAGTTTTTCTCTTTACATACTTGTTTTTAAATGAGAAAAAGTAGAACTATTAATTAATTCGAAACTACCACCATTTTAAAATTAATAAGAAATATTGTGAAAATTACATTTTCCTAATCCCTAAACATGGGGGGCAGGGGTAAGACCTTAGAATAATCATTCTCTAATTCATTTATCCTGTTTGTATTTATTTTCCAGAGCTCCATGTTTAGTAAAAGATCCCCTGTTTTAAATTCTAGTATCTGTGAAAGAATGAAAATAGACCCACGCCACCTAGTACAGCATTTCTACTCAGTCTTCCCACACGGCACAAGTGCTTCTTCTTTGGTGATGTCTTCATGACCCAGCCTCCAATGCTTAGCCCAGCTTAGCCTGCTTTGCTCAGTGCAGACTGTTTTCTAGTCTACTCTGCACTTACCATGTATGCTATCAAAGTATACTTTTAGATATTGGCAAATATGGGATTCTGATCTGCAATTAGATCACTATTCCATTTTCAAAAGTTTATTGAATGTTTCTCATTAGATTAATAAACATGTTTCAAGAAAACCCAGCCACTGCTTAGACTAAATGGTCATTATTTAGTTTGCAGCAGAACACAGGCACTACACTGCAGCATCTATATATTCATTAACAGCGACCTAGTCAAAGAAAGTTAATTCTCTAAATCAATAATATTTTAAAGAAATAACATGTAAGTGTATAAATGAGTTGCATAGCAGTTTTCAGATGCTGCTCAAAGTAACCCTACAATAGACACATGAAAGAAGTGTAGCAGTGTGACAGTTGAATCTACTTCTAAAGCAACTGGTCCGGATCAAGCCCCACTGCAGGTAGACTACACAGTAAGCTAGGCAAGAGGCCACCACTGTGCCATTTAAAGCTCTAAGTATAAAATATCTGGATATGTATACTTTACAAATAAACTGAAAACTAAAAACCAGGATCTTGAAACTATTTCACTAAATAGTTGAATTCAAGAGCTCACTGGTAATCTCTGAGTTTACTCTCCACTTACATTATAAATTCAAACAGCAAAGATTTTCTCTTGTATCACTTAAAAACATTGGTATTATATAATGCACTGAATGAGTGATACAGATTCATCATATAGTGCATTTTATTATGTATGGTGATCTTACTGTTTGGTCCTAGGGATGTCACCAAAGGTCCAAGGGAATAAACCTATCTAAACATAAAATTAATAGAACACTTACCACCTGGGGAAAAAGTCAATTCATACATAGTACCTACTATAAATGATATGAACTATTGCTTAGAATTTAGAGAAACACTGAAGTTCTCTTCCATGACTTAGGCCACAGGAACCTGAAGGAGTGATAACTTGGTCACACTTAACTTAAAAGGCTGATGCTCACTTTAAACTCCTAAGTTACTCTGGTTATAAATAACCCATAAAATTTAATATTGAAGAGCAAATAAAAAAGCTTAAGCGCTATATAATTTTATATTTATAGAGTTGGATTTCTATGTTTACTTTTACCAGTAATAAAAATAACAACAGTAACAGAAGTAAAGTCTATCTCTAGGATTAAGTCTAGGATTAAGTTATTACGCTAATATAGATACTATAGATATTAGAGTAAGTTATTACTTTAATATAGATATTATTCAATAAATTATACTATACTCAAGTCACACTAAATGAAAACTAAGCTTACTGGGAATGAATTAAGATGACAAAAAATGAAATCCATAATTATCTAAACTGCTCAATAACATAGATGATACTGCAATTTATAAAAATGAAAATATATAGGAAAGGTTTTAAAAGTATGAACAAGAGTCCAACTTTAGTTATTTACATAAAAACTGTCATTTTAACTCTTGATCTAATCACTGTTTTACTAAATATTTTGACAATTTTGATAATTCACATACCAGGAAGAGAAAGTACAATGCTATTCTTCATTCTTTATTCTTTATAAATTTATATTCTTAAGTATCATGATTTAACTAAAATAGTCCATCATGGATTTACTAGTGTTTAGTTTGATTTACACTGTCAAAAGGTCAAAAGCTCTTGACAGGTAAGAGTAATAAGTCACAACCAAACTCAGACGTCACAGAGATGGACAATATCCTGCCAAAACCCTCATCATTTCAGCTAACATAGTCATTTTATGTATTTTGAAAAAGTAGACAACACTGTCAAAACCTATGCCATAAGTATAGTTTTAACTGTAATTTTCATTGTAATATGAATTGCAGCTAACTAGAACTAGTGAGAATTCAGTATTACACAACACTTGGATGTAAGTTTTGAAGCTAAAACTGCTGTTTAGAATTATACTTGAGAGATAGACCCTAATTATTGCTTGTAAATTACTGTGGTGGGAGCTTCACAAGTTTTAATTCTGTATTTCTAGAATAATAATGATTATTAAATTATGCTACTGAAAAGGCACCTTAAACATCAGAAAATTATTCTGTAGTTTAAATCATAAAGCTAGTAAACAATAAGGATTTTTAATTCCTTCATCAGTATTAAGTCACAACATACTAAGTAAAAGAGAAGGCAAATAAATTCAGATACAGGGATACAGCAAACATTAGAAGTTATCTTAAATTGTTAGTCTGTCAGCTGGTATTATTATTGTTTTGGGGGACAGTTTTTGCCTTTGAAAAGCTACATTACATCTCATAGGATCATGCTTTAAAGAAGCCCTCAATTTTTATACATTGTAATAATATGGTATCAAAACACATTCAATTTCAAATTTGTAACACAAAGAATCTGTGTTTTAACAATCACACTTAGTTTGTTTCAGCTGCTGAGTAGATGTAAATGTAATCCACACCACTATCAAACTCTAGGTCTAATAGATATCAAGCTAATATTTATTTCTAAGTGCTTTAAAAATTATTCGTAAAAGCTGCATAAAAAGGATTCCGTGAGTGTATTATGATTTTCCTTTAACAATGGAAGTACATGCTCAAACAAGACACCTCAGCAGTATTTTAGAGCAGTAACCACCTAGCCAATTTCTGTATGTTCTGTAGTTTTTCTAATCCACTCTCCCTGTGGTTGAGCAAAATCGAATTGCCTCTCACATTTGCAGACAGCTCTGTGAAGGTGATAATAGAGCTGCACCCTGCTGTCATGAGGCAGGAAATAGGAAAATGGCATATGGGGCTAGAAAGAAAGAACTAAGGGGAAAGAAAGAATGAAAGAACGAACAAAAAGAGAGAGAGAGAACTAAACAAGAACAAAAGAGATTTCAACAAAGAATAATATAACCCAATGTGCTCTGCAAGTTAAACCTCTTTTCAGAATCAGTCAGCATATTTAATCATTCATCTGTGTCCTCACTACAAATACATGAATGGTTGATTACCAAGTCTTTGGGCAAGTTTTCATTGTCTAAAATATTTGGAAAATACATCTTACATAGTGTCTGAAAAACAGAGCCCTTTAAATAAACATTTTTAAAATGTGTTATTTATTAAAATATTAATAATGTATAAAGCAGCAAATATATATTGTATTTTATATACAGCAATCCTATATGTATAATGTATACATAGGATTTTATACATGTTTATGAAACATGGAAATGGGATATACAAAGATTTTAGTATGGCTTAAAATTCAAATTCATAAATTTTTTTTTAATTAAGGATAAACATTCATTCATGATAATAGTAAACTAAAAATAAAACCCTACATAATTTGTTAAATTGCTAATAGCATGCCATATATTCATGGACTTGTATGATTTAAATAAAAAGCATTTGTGTATGTGTGTTTTATTAAGAATTCTTTCAAATACAAAGGATTTTTTTTACATGTATGTGTATAAAAAGTGGCAGTATATGGCAAGCAAGTTAGAATTGACTCTACCTTTCCCTTTACACTCTGAATGGGATCCACAACCACTGCCACAGCTCTCTCCGACAAGGCTTCAAAGCTCTGCTGAGTGTTGATATCCACACCAGACAGCCAACAGCCAAAGCCAGGGTGACTGTGATACCAACCAACAACCATCTCAGGCCTGAAACAAAGAGGGCATTCAGACACTCAGAACACAACAAGTAATACACTGATGATATGAAGAGAAACAACACACTAACAGGGTATAAATTAAGAAAAGATGAAAAACATACAGGTGTGAAAAAGCACCATTAGGAACTCTGAAATCGGACACCATATTCTCCAGAAAACATGGAAATGAGTAAGTGTGACAAAGGAGTGCTATCATTAAGAGAGGCACATTAGCAGTGGTAGATAAGGCTTTCAGTTTTTCACCTTGTTACCACACTTCCTCAGAGCCAGTTTTTAGCCTTTCAGCATTCAAGTAAATATCTCCTCTTTAACTCCTTAGCTCTGGGAGCTGGATTTTTCAGGCACAGAGTCCATTTGTTAACAATGGACACCAGGATCCACTGTTGTGAAAGGATTAAATATCAATTAAACCAGCAGTAGAACTAGGAACTCAGTCAAAAACCAATTTGCACTGCTCTGCTCAGCTGCTGAGCCTTTTGCTAACAGGAATTTTGAAGTTTTTTCCACAGTAGAAGAATCTGAGCAAGAGAACGACCACTATTGGGAGACTTAGTCTGAGGGACAAACACTTGGATTATACAGTCTTCAAAACTCATGTCTACAAACATTTATCAGAACGGCATTTGGCTGAAATTCTCAAACACAAAGAACATACCAGGTCTTTCAATTACAAGTAAAAAGAAAGTAATTCTAGACGCTAAACAGGGGGACATTATAGCCCAAGCCTATGACATGACAGCTGAGAATCTTAATAGAAGGCAGTTTTCTGCTTGGTAGATTTTCATTCAGGATGTCAACAGGCACCACATAGGCAGATCAACTACACTGATTCTTCCCCTTGGAATGATGCTCAAAAACTTTAAGGTACATTTCCAAAACTATTGCTCACTCATAAAAAATAATGTGTATAACACCTACCTTCCTGTTTGTTTCAGCATATCCAACATTTTGGCTTGGAATACTGGATCAACTGCTTCTACACTGACACCCTAGATTAAGGAGAGGAAAAAAAAAAGACTTTGGGAAACCTTGGGGGAAAGGAAACATACTATAAATGAACAACAACAAAAGTCTACCCCCAATTTTGTATTAAAATTTTATAGGTTTTGATACATGTATTTGATAGCTACTCAAGTCATTGAACTCTAAGACTTATACCCACAAAATTTCTAAAACTGTCAAGTACCAAACTGCTGTTAACTAATGACTGAGACAACATTCAGGGTGTCAAAGTTTATAGCTGTTACTATATCTCTATCTATTTCTGATTATATACATCATCAGAAGTACCAAACAGCTAACAAACTGATTTTTTTTTAGTTACAACTACCTATGGCAAGCATACTTCCTAATACCATTTCAGCATCAGGAATGTAAATCTAATCCAGGTAAATAAGCCAGTTTAATATAAGCACTTCCTCCAACCAAACAAACATGAATTCCAATAAAGAGGCACCTTTGGAAAACAAGAATATGCATTCTGATGCTGAGCTAAGACTATCTTTTCGGAGTTTTGTTTTCATTATTTTAAAGAGGAGATGAAGAGAGAGAATGAAGAGAAGAAGAGGAAGGGTAGGATCCAGGGAGAAGGAGGGGAGATAAGGAAGAAAGGGGGATGAATATGCAGACAGAAGCCTTTACAGAAGAGTCTACTGACTTGATTCTACTACACAGAGTGGCATAAGCATCAAAGCAGCCTATCTTACACTGTCAGACAAACATTACAGGGAATTATTATCCTGATTACCTATCTATATAGGGACCACCTGTAACAGAAATAAGTTTATATATATATATATATATATATATATATAGAGAGAGAGAGAGAGAGAGAGAGAGAGAGAGAGAGAGAGAGAGAAGGGAGATGTAATAGCAGACCAAGATTTAAATCTAAATATAAATTGTGGATAATATAGTGCTTCTATATCCACAAACAAAAAGTATAATGGATATCCAGAAAGACAAAGAATTCCAAATCAATTTCCCAAAAAAGGCAAAGCAAACAAACCCAACAACAACAAAAATAACAACAAAAAACCCAAGATGTATTACAGATTTTGCCATTGTTTTGTATTATTTTCAAATCTGTTGCATACTGTAGCATCTAGTCTACAGAAAATACTTGTTTCATGTGTGTGTGTATGCATGGCATCATTTAAATGCATGTAATCTGTTCCTTAGTATGTGAGGATTCTCAAACAGAGCAAGCAGCTTCACCTTATAAGCCTTGCCGGCCTTAACAAGAGCAGGGCCACAGCAGAGACACAGAAAACACACGGGTGAAAATGAATGGTACATTCATGTTTGGAAAAACAGGTAGAATTAACACTGATAATTTCTGTTTTGAGACAATTGTCTCGATGTGGGAAAGAATGGCTTCAAAATGAATATCCAACACAAGGAAGATCTTGAATTCCTCATCTCCTCCCCCCACCTCTCCAGTGCCGATACTCAAGGCATAAGCTACTGCATTGCCTTTGATCACTGGGGTTGGTTTTTTGTTTGTTTGTTGTTTTTTTTCCCCACTTTTTTTTTTTAAGTACAGCAGGGCACAATGGCACAAACCTTTAATCTCAGCACCCCAATGCAGAGTCAGGAAGATCTCTGTCATTTCAAAGGTGGCCTATACTAAGTAGAAAATTCCAGGCCAGCAAGGACTATATGGTGAGATCCCCATCTCAAACAAATGAACAAAACAGCCTAAATGATGACTTTCTATAAAAATCTCCTTCAGTAAATAAAAGGCAAAATAAAGTTATCTCTAAAAAGAAGACATTTTAAACAGTGTAGAGTGCTTTCAAAAATCTACATTTCACTACTTACTTAACAGGTGAAAGTCATTCACCTCCCTACATAGCAAATTAAAAAAAAAAATCACAGACTTCAAAACAATGGAAACCTCACAGGAGGATTCATTTACATGAATTCAAATTTTATACAGTTTCTAAAAACTTTGATCAAATATTCAGAGTAATTAGTATAGTACCCTACTTTGATAGCAACTAACTTTTAAATCCAGCTTGTCTGGCTCACTAAAGGAAAGAATAAGGGATTTAGTTCTAGCACCATTCAGTTTATAAGAGTCTGTGGTGTAGTTAAAGGACTGATTTAATTCAATACAAGATAAAATTCATACTATCAGTGTTACAATTGCTGCTTCCTACTACAAAATAAAAAACATAAAGAAATAAGAGTTATTTTTAATTATGAAAGGAGAAGAAAACCAAGACAAGCAGCAGCCAACATAAAGAAGTACTCACAGTTCCTGACTGTGGCATAGCAAACACATCAATCACTCTGACGGTGTAATCATCAACAAATTCGCCAAGCATGAGACCCATAACTTCCATAGGAACTCCAGCACGGCCATGCTTTAACATCTGTAGAGAGGAAGATACACAGACACAAAGCCCAGTGATTTGAGATCTTGACACACACACCCATGCTGCCAAATAACCTGTTTTGCTTCTGTGGAAGTAAAAGCCTATTTTGTAGATGTACCTGAAATAATGCTTACGCCTGAGGGAATTAAGGTGATAAATATGCCGAAGTAAAAGAGCGACTACAAAGGAGGCTCTAAGCCAGTAACTCTACTCCTCACTTACCTTCAGCAATGCCAAGGAAGAGATATAGACTTGTTCTGCTGTGTCCACGGCAGGAGCATCTGTAGGTGGACCCTAGAAACAAGTTCATCAATTACTATAACACACAGAATTAAAGTTACATGTGAAATAAACTTGATTCTTTTAAAAACATTCTAGAAAAAAATCAAGTATCTTTTTATTCAATTACAATATAAATAATCATGAAGACATCTACAATTATTAAGCATAAAGGTAAGAGTCAAAACTCAGTACCCTGACAACTTTCCAATGGGCATAAAGTTTACTTCCACAGTGCTCATCTACCTTGGCTACAAAATAATTATTGTCAATTACTATAACATTTGTTACCACTATGTTACAATATGATATAATCTGAAGGCCAAATTCTATTGGACTAGCTTGACAAACTCAAGGCTCTTCTGAGCTTCTTCAGAGCTTTAGCTACAGACAGCATGCAGATTAGGGCTATGGGATGGATCACTTTGCAGATTCATAGATACAATGGGAGGAAGGTGGTAGAAGACTTCTAATCCCTAGGTGAAAGAGCTGTGAATGAACAGCATACTCTGCACTTCCTAATGAAGTTGTTCTCTTCTCCACACACAACAAATTTACAGCCATCACCTCAGGAGCGAACAAACTAGATAAGGTCAGGTAGGTGGCACAAAATACTTCCAATAACTGACCATTGCCTTTCATACTGTAACAGGCTAATGAACCAACTAAGTTTCTCCAAAAAGATCCTACTTATTCACAAAAAGAAACAAATCTCTATTGACTGTCACAATGAGCCTCACAGAGCAACTTGTGGTCTTTACCCTCAAGGTAACTTCACCCCAGCAGCCAGTAAACACAATTCCACGCCAAGCAGTAAACATCATTTAAAAAGTTTGTCTTTCTTTCTTTAATACTGAGACGTGTAGAACAGAGTTTCTAACTGTTATGATCCTTTTTACTTTTCTATACCATGTCAAATCTGCTAACCACTCATTCCCTCTTGCTTTTATGCTTTTACTTGTTGAAATTAAATAACTGCTTTACTCATACTCCACTAACAGTCTACATATATTTCTATGTATACACCAAATTCTGTCACATTTGGGGCATTGTCCCAATGTTTACTGCAAGTATTAAGCATAGATGGTCCCAAGTGCAGACTCTTCATTTATCATTACTGAATGCAGCTTCGTTGTTTCTTTCAAATAGACTTTCAAAATGAAAACTAATTGGTAAGCCAAAATACTTTTTGTTTAAATTATAAAAGTTTTAGTAATCTAATTTCATCCACTTAGCAAAGAAACTTAGGAAAGATTAAGATATGGGGCTGGAGAGATGTCTCAGTGGTAAAGAATACTGGCTGCTCTTTCAGAGGACCCAGGCTTGAATTCCAGCACCCACATGACGGCTCACAACTGTTTGTAACTTGAGTTTCTGAGGATATCACATCCCCTCTATCCTCTACAGGCCCTGCACATATGTGGTGCACACACATACATGAAGGCAAACACTTCTCTATATATAAAATATAAATATTAAATAAAAATTTTAAAGACAGATTAAGAAAAAGTTGAAGACCATCAAGTCAAATGTGATGATACATTTGTGGAAGTTATACTTTAGCCTTAAGATAATAAAACACCACATTCAAGTTATTTCTTGGACATAGAACAACTTTAAAAATTGTATGTGTTGTCTGTAGATACTGAAATAACCTTTTTCAATTTGCCAGAAAATAATTATTAAAAAAAAAAAAATAAGAGACCACATTTTTACCTAACTATATCACTGATAGAATCCAAAAACTATTTCAGTCATCAATGGAAGAAAACTGCCTTTGTTATGTGTTATATATAATCAGTACTTAGCAAAGTATCTAGCACATAGCAAGAACTCAGCAATACCTGCTGAAAAATAAATGAATCAATAAAAATGGTACAGAAAGTTAACCCTTTTGTTGGGTGTTGTCTGCAGGACAACAGTCAGTGATAGTTACTGTTTTGATCTCTCCTCTCCCTACCTCTCCCTGAACTCCTCCCCACCCCCAACAGGGTCTCTGCCACCCTTCCCTCTCCCACCTTCCCTCCCTTCCTGCAAAGTCCTGCTAACTGATCCAGGTTGGTTTCAAAGTCTTCAGTCTCCTGACCTCTCAGGTGTGGGCCACCTATTTTATCTCTTCATCATGTTAGCCAGAGAATAAAATTCCTTGGCATGGGGGTTGGGGACCTGGCAAGAAGTGGGGATTGGTAGCAGTTAAATGTACAGTGAGACTGAAAAAAGAAGAGGGAGGAAAAAGTGGAATAAATATGAAGACTGTGAGAGCAGTGAGCATCTCATCTAGGCTATAATATTTCTACACACTCACCTGTTCTGAATAAAACTCAATGAGGCAATAGAGACCTCATTAAAGACCCTGCAAACTGAGTTCAGAGAGGAATGTAAAGACTTCAACAGCTAAACAACAAAGACTTAGCCCTCAAGAGGGGAAAAAAATGTGAAATTATAGACAATCTACAACTAGTGTCTTTTGGTAAATAGTTCTGTAGACCAGCATACCAATAATTCAAAAAGTCACTGAAAATTGGAATAGCAAACACTGTAGAAAACTTCTGTCAATAAAATATGATTTTTCTCTGTAATAAAATACTGGAGGAAAGACAAGATTTAAAAAGTAAGAACTGAAGTTACACAAGAAAAAAACAGGGACAAAATAACATTATTGTAGGTTCCATACAATGACATAGAATACAATATTATCGCTTACAAACGAAGAGGGATAGAGCTCAATGGTGACTATTCTAGAAATACAGATGTGAAAGACGTTTGACCTTTAACTGCTTAAAACTTAAACCACTGTGTATGTACACCTTACCAAGTCAGTGGGGGAAAGGAAGGAAACACAAGACTGACTGTAGAGCAATGGAAGAAGCCGGGTGCTAAGGTGCACTCCAGCTTTGCTGAAGGCTGCCAGGGGATGCCTGGGGGTTCTAGGACAGCCAGCACATCATGGGGAAACCTGCTTTTTCTGTCTTTAGAAACAGGTTTGTTTAGTGCACTACAAGAGTAAGTGTACTGGACAGTAAAAAAGTTTCACCTACAACTACCCAATTTCAAGTCTTTAAAATACACACACACACACACACACACCAAAAAAATTTTTTTAAAAATACTAAATGATATAAGATGAATTAAACTGCTTTTAAACAAATACAATGATGAACAATATCCTGCTGTGGGATGTTCTGTATGTCCTGTGGGAGCCCGTTCTTGGATTCCTCGTGGCTTTACCCAGCAGGTCCCCATAGAGGATGATTAGGACCACGGGCCTGAGTGCAGGTGTCTGAGATGGTCTGCACTTGGCTGTGCTGGGGGATGGTCTGTATGTCAAGTTGCTCTGATTGGTCAATAAATAAAACCTGATTGGCCGTGGATAAGCAGGAAGTATCGGCGGGACTAACAGGAGAAAAGAAAGAACAGGAAGGCAGGAGTCACTGCGTGCAGCAGCCACCAGGACAAGGAAGATGTCAAGTACCGACCGGTAAGCCACGAGCCATGTGGCAAGGTATAGATTTATGGAAATGGGTTAATTTAATATATAAGAACAGTTAGCAAGAAGCGTGCCACGGCCATACAGTTTGTAAGCAATATAAGTCTCTGTGTTTATTTGGTTGGGTCTGAGAGGCTGTGGGACTGGCAGGTGAGAGAGATTTGTCCTGACTGTGGGCCAGGCAGGAAAACTCTAGATACAAAATCCTGTGTTTAAAAAGTACATGTACCTCCAAGTTGACTTAAAGTAGAAATTCTTGTATATGTTGCTTAAAGGTAATGACACAAAGACTAAGAAAATTAGTCAACAAAAAACTGACTTAGCTGAACGATTTAGAGGAAGGCATGTTCAGATTTCAGAACATCTACAGTCTAACCCAATTAAGCACCCAGAATCAAAAAATACAAATTGCTACAAATCCCATTTTGGAGTGGGGATGGGGGTGAGGGATGCTTTACTATTTGTGACTTCAAAGCATTCTGAATATTGGGTCTGGGATGCACACCTTAATTAAGCCTGCAGGTTTCTGGAAAAGCCACAGTGGCTACTATGGCTCACCTGCTTGTGCTTCTTCACTGAAATAGAATAATACTATACAGTATTAAATCATCTTTGTACTTTCCAAAATCAATTAAACAGTTGTATTTACATTTTGTTTTTCAGATCAAAAGTAGCATTGGCCTCTTTGTTAACTTTATTAGGTTTTGATATCAATATGGAGGATTTATAAAATAATCTGGAAATGTCTGTAAGTTCTCCAGTTACAAAGTTTTCCATTTTTATATCCTGTTCTGTGTATACATTAGAATTACCTAGCATTTCAAATTGAGAGAGTTCACTATTAAAACATCTGACTGTAGAGCAACTTTTAGAGCCAGCTGCTCTAACTTTTCAATCAGTGTATGGATAAATTCAGGTTTCTCCATCTTGAACCTAACTAGACTTCTATGTTATTTTGGACATTTCACTTCATTAGCTTTCCAAGTTGCCACCATAGAACTGAACATAATCTACCTTTTCTTTTTATCTAGCTTAATAGTGGAAGCACTTAAAATTAAATTTGGTCTCTATATCATGCTATAGTATTAACCAAGAGGATTAAGAGTTACATTAAAAAAGAAAACCAAAGCATGGCAAAAACTTTTCTAATAACAAATGTCTATGTGAGCAGAATTTGACAAGTACAAAACAATCAATAAAATAATATACAATTTAAAACAGAACCTAAGGCTACACAGAGAAATACTGTCTTGAAAAACAAAAACAAAAATTTAATTTCTGATTAAGAGTTAAAAAGAAAACTAGTCTGGAAATTAGTTGCCTCATACTAGTTATGTCAAAAAAAAGTCATTACACAAACAAATTTTAAAAATTACTAAGCCCTCAGCAGAAACACAAGCAAAGAATATAGAGGCTAATTATATAAGAAATACAAAATGATATAAACATGAAAAGTGTCCAGCCTCCCTAGCTGACCTTCTTTAATTAAAGAAATACCAATTAACACATGAAGACAAGTTTTACAGTG